GATGCACTTGTTCCTAGTAGCGAACCTTGTTACTACTAGTAAGGCACTTGTTACTAGTAGCGATGCACTTGTTCCTAGTATCGAACCTTGTTACTACTAGTAAGGCACTTGTTACTAGTAGTGATGCACTTGTTCCTAGTAGCTTCTTGTTACTACTAGTAAGGCACTTGTTACTACTAGCGATGCACTTGTTCCTAGTAGCTTCTTGTTACTACTACTAAGGCACTTGTTACTAGTAGCGATGCACTTGTTCCTGCAGAGTATCTGAAGTCATGAGCATCGTTGAGGTATCAGTGCGGTATCAGACTTCAGATGGTGCGCTGACGATCGAACCGAGATCGGTGCCATCCTAGCTGAGCTGACAATCGCTGCGGGTCTACCCAAGCACAACAAAAAGTAAGGACCTCTTAGATAAGACATGATAAGGGCCTTACTTAAGAGTTTTCACAATTTGCTCCAGCGATTGGCATGGCCTTGGGATATTTTCATTCTTGGTTCGTGGTACCTTTTGACAAACACCTTCGCTTCCCCGAAAAAGTGACCTTTGCAGAATGTTAACTGACCTTTGTTGACTCCTTTGCAACGAATGCCGCGAATTTGGACGGAGTCTCGGCGCGACGCCAAGCGACCTCTTGACCGCTCAAACCATGACCGCCCGTGAGCAACACGTTTTGCGGAGAAACGTATGACGTTATGCTAGATCTGTCAATGATAAATGGAAAGTGTTTAACCAATTTGCATTGCAGTTTTTGCTTCTCAATGGTGCTACTTGGGGCAAAGGACCTCAGAAGCGCAGCGAGTGTCCGCCTTTCAAAAAGATTGAGATTGTCCCCCCCCACTGACCTTGCAATGTGACTTGGCTTCACCATATGCTTTTGCAAAAATGCCAACGCTCACTCCGGGAGCTCCAACATCAATGTTGAGAGAGAAGTTACACGGCCTGGTGATCAGCGTACCTTTTGGCACCTACAACGCTACATCCTTGTGTTCGAGGCGATCAATTCTGAGATTCGGGCACTCAAGTTTACCGGAATTCGGTCATGGAGGGATGCAATGCAAAGTGCTACATGTGTTACGTCCTCTGCCGTGATCGGTACAATGTTGTACCAGTTTCTCAAGCAACAGTAACAGGGATGTCTTGTTCCCCCGAACCTGGTTTTCGGACCAGCTCGAGTCCTCATCCTTTTTGACCTGCCAAAGGCCATGGGATGTCAGTGCGAACAGCGACCTAGACAGCAGGCTGTCTTTGTGTTTTTCTTTCTGAACATGGAAACGTGAACACGAACTCTCTGTTCTTCAGCAGATTTGGCCACATGATTTTTGGACGCTCGCATGAAAACCAGCCTTCCGCCAGTTACAGCATGGGATCTTTGGCAACAAGTGCAATTGAGGAAACAAAATGCGTTGGTTTGGACGCCAGACAAAATCATGAGGCTCAATGCCTTCCGGTTCATGCTTTCCTTCCGGTTGTTTCTCTTGTTCGCGCCATTGAGGCTGGAGATCTTGATTGTCAATCTGTTCTCACACAGGTTCGCCCTTGACGAAGCGCCTCAGTTGCTTGCGGTGCAGTTTTGTACTTTTACTGGTTTGAGGTTTCGGAAGCTTCAATTTTGGCAACAACGGGTTCTACCATCGAATAAGTGAGGTTCATATGTGTCTCCAACTCGGGATTGATCATGCCCCACTCCTTTCAAACGCCGCTCTGATCTGAAGCTCGATAAAGCAAAGATAAGCAAAGTGTCTTGACAGGCTGCTCCCCAAGCTTTGTGCTGTACTCATGTTGGCTCTTGGATTGCCCCTTGGATTCGTTCGCGTCTTTGTCTGCCTTTACAATCAAATGACCAGATTTTTGTCCTATAAACAATGGACCTGCCAGTTGTCAATCTCTGTGGCAAGTGGAGCCTGGGTCTGCTTTGCATCAATCTTCGCATGGCTGTTTGGGCATGGATGCCGCAAAATATTGAGGGTTTTCATTATCGTGTCTTCATTGACGACATCTACTTAGGGGCAGGCAGCAGGCAGTTGCCAAAGAATGGGATGCACTTTGTGGCCGATCCTTGAACAGTATTGAACAGTGACAAATGTGATTTTTTTTTCACAAATGGTGCACTTTGCGCTGAACTCCCGTCGCCTTTCTCCAGAGATGAAATTGGTTGAGGTTGTTAATGTGCTGGGGGCGCACATCCAAACAACCCAAAAGCACGCTGGTGACTCCCCTGGCAACCATTCAGTCTGCGATTTGGGATTGCGTCGCAATCAAAACCTTGCCTTTGATGAGAGACATCAAACATAAATTTGGCTGCAAACGCTGGTTGTTCCACAGATTGGCGTTTTTATGTTTTTTTACGTTGGAAAACATCAGATTGCCGTTGCGGAAACCTTGTGGCAAACTCGACCTCTGGGTATTGTCTACAAGGCCTATCAGCTGGAACACTTTTGTTTGTTTCGGGCCGCCGGCCTTTAAAACCATCAAAGAGACAATTCGGTATCTGAAGAGTGAAGACATCCCACTTTGCAAGGCAGCGGTGGAAAGGTATTCTTACAAAGAACTTCAGCGCACAGTCTGGTGATCTTTTTTCAATCATGCACCGCCATTGGTTAGATCGGAGAACAATCTCTTTTGGAGTGAACCAGCGAATGTTTGCGTTGCATTTGCGCTGAGTGACCTGAAGTGCTGAAAGGTTTTATTTTTTTTGGAGCTGAAGTTTTCGTCCCGGTACGGGATGCCACTTGCCGTGTATTTCTCAGCGGAGAAAACGAACTTCCTTCATCGTGGGATGCTGAGGCCTTTCATCATCCTGTGCGCAGCCTTTGGTGGTCTCTCATGCCTAATGCGAGAGAAAAAGGAGGCCGTATTAAGAGACCCGTATTCTCAAGTTTTCCTCAGGTGAGGTGAGGGTTGCCAGGCTTTATCAGAGCTCTTCTCTTCCTCCTCCTCCTCTTCCTTTTCCTCCTCCTCATCCGCTCCACCTCAGCCGTCAGCTCGCGATCGCAGCGGGCGCTACCGGATCTCAGCCGCCGCTCCCGATCGCACTGGGCACTGCCGGACCTCGCCGCCAGCTCCGGATCGCAGTGGGCGCTGCCGGACCTGAACCTCCAGATCACAGTGGGCACTGCCGGACTTCAACCACCACCCGATCGCGGCGAGCGCTGCCGGACCTCAACCTCCAGCTCCAGATCACAGTGGGCACTGCCGGACCTCAACAGCAAGCTCCAAATCGCAGTGAGCACTAGCAAGCTCAAGGTCAGAGTGGGCATTACCGGATCTCAACAGCAAGCACCAGATCGCACACAGCCGGACCTTAACAGCAAGCGCCAGATCGCAGTGGGCACTACCGGACCTCAACAGCAAGCGCCAGAGCGCCGTGGGTGGTCTCGGACATCAACAGCACGCGCCCACACAACCACAAACACACAATACACAGCCAACAGCAACAGCACACAACAAACAACACACAACCTCAAACACAACCGCAACCACAACTACAAACACAACCACAAACGCACAACACACAATACACAACCAACAAAACACCAGCGCAAACGCAAACAGAATACGCTACACAACCAACAAAACACAACGACAAACACACAACCACACAACACACACACACAATACACAATACACACCCACAAACACACAACACACAACACACAATACACAACCCTAAACAAAACCACAACCACAGCCACAAACAACAAAATGCAATCGCACAACCACAAGCAAAACCACAAATACACATCAAAAAAATGCAAACCACCAAAGCCACAACCAACAAAAACAACCACAAACACAATACAAACCAACAAAACACAACCCGCAAACACAACATACAATATACAGCCAACCACAAGCACACAACACACAAACACACAACAACAAACACAACCACAAACACACAACCGCATTCACACAACCACAAGCAAAACCACAAGCATGCAACCAACCAAGCAGAACCACGAAAACCCAACAAACAACAACCACAAACACAACACACACACACACAACAAACCTGGAGACCCTGGCGATACCCTGACGGGAACTCTCCAACACTGAAACAACACCCCCGAACCCGTGGACCCACAAGCAATATCGAGAACCACAAAGACCCCCACCATGGCAACATGCTCTTCACCATGCCATGAAAACAACTGATTGACATGTGATGGTGGGGATCACTCGAAGTAAAGTGATTGTTATTATTCCACTTGCAGCTTTGTCCTCGGACGCGGGTGCCACAAACAACTCGGTTTCGGCTCACTGTTCATGCGTACCCACGTTCGAACACACGTGGCAACGAATGGGGGAGTCCCGTCAGGACCGTCACGCAAGGACGACATGAAGAGCGCAGCGTGTCGTCATCCTGCGCTGGACACGAAGCGCGATTCCCAAGCGATTCCAGCGTTGCAACGAACAGAAGCAACGAGGATTCGGAGGTTGTTTTGATTTGTTTTGCATACGTACCTGACGGATGGTCAGCCTTCAGGTTTTCGTCGCCCACTCAGGATCTGGCAATTCCACCCCGAACTCCGTTGGAGAGGACACTGCCATCCTCAACCCACGACACCGAAACCGTTCGGTGTTGGCAGACCAAAGCAGATCGAGCGGCCGGTTGGTTTGCCAAAGGTTGCCACCATTCTTATGCTCGTTTGATCACCAGTAGAAAATAGATGAAAATAGTACACAGTTCAAATCACCTTGTTGCATCGTAAGACAACTGCTGCTTGTGAGTGGTTGTCATGCCCGACTACTGCTTCTCTGGAGTCATGAGACATGGTAAAATGCAAAGCATATTGAAAGAGATGTTGAACCATGGTCTTGTTTCCAACCTCCCATAGATCAATGATCACAATCCAATCTTCACTGCTCCATCGCCTCTCGGATGCCCGACACTCATCAAAGATCTCTTTGAGAATCCCCGAGCAGCAACGGCACTCAGAGTCACATGCAAGAGGTTCCACCTGCCGTGCGGCGCTGGACACCACAACGTGCGAATGAATGACCCGGAACAGGCCGTGCCAATGAATGACCCGTGCCGTGACCCGGAGAGCGTGGACATGCAACTGACCGGAACTCATGCCATTGTGAAAGCAAACAGTGGTCTCCCTGGCGGTGGGGAGACCTTTGGTGCAACCCATGGTGGCAGAAAGTCACGTGAGTCTCATGTGTGTGTGTGGTTGTGTGTGTGCCACGCGCATACCAAATTCTCGTTGAACAACGCACACACACACACACATTCCGCACAAATACAGACTCAGTTCGTTTCCAGTGTATGCTGCAAAGGTTATTTTTACCTATTCATTGTGTTAACAACATTTGCGATTGCTTCTGTTCATCTCTCATTTCAAGCAAGTGGCCTATTTGTCTGTCTTGCATGTCTTTGCGCGCTTTTAGATGTTTGATGCACCTGTGAACAAATGATACAATTGAACAGGTGGCCTTGGCTTATCAAGACAGGCTACAACACAGGCGGACATGACATCCGGCAACTTGCTTCGTGCAACTTTCAATGGACCCTCCCGGCGCACAAGTTGCAGGTACTGCTGGTTGGGCAGGTCAGGGATTGCAGTGTCTTTCCATCTGGATCTCCTCAGTGGAAAAGGACATGCACTGTTCTTGATCAAATCTCAACATGTGCCGTTCTCGAGCTGGATATATATATAATTATATATATATATAATTAAAACTCATTAAAAGTAGATGTGTCTGAGATGTCTCGGGCATTGCATGATGCTTCATGAAGCAAACTCATGTGGAGCAACAAACACACCACATAAACACCGCACTTATGTCGCTGCTTGCTGATCCAGCTTTATTACACTCACCAGTTGTGACAGCATCTCACATGAAATAACGTGTCAATCATGTCAAAAACAATCACAAAACAGCACATTTCTCGGGCGGCCCTGGCCAACTGTACGGTGGATCAAGCCATGCTGATGCTCCTGTTTCCAACAATTGCATGTATACTGTATACTTTCAATGGGAGAATCATGAACGACATGTAAAGAAACCCGTTCATGAGGCATAGCCAGGCACAGTCTTCTTTGCCAACAGAGATGCTGGAACAAATCGGCTTGGAGATGCTTGGAGATAATTTAAGCGTGTGGACATGTTGTTTTCAGAATGTCATTCATCTGCAATAAGCCTTCAAGTTCGGATCTCAACTAGCTTGAGCACATACAACTTTCATTCCAAATGGCAATCCAAGTTCACGCTCGACTCGCTGCGCGAACTTGGACGTATCGTGAGGATTTTGTCCCCAAACCTCATAGGACTCATCTCCAGCATCATCGTCGGGGTCTCCCAAGCCGACCTCAACGGAGCGCCGCCTCTGAGGCGGAAGACCGGCGTGCCGAGCTGAGGCTCGGAAGGTTTGAACGTCCAAAATGAAAACGAACACATGTTACGTCAATCACGGCGCTTGTGGCCCTTGTCTTATCATCATATCAGCCAATGATTCTCAAACATCAAGTTTTTTTGTTTGTTTTTTGTTTTTTTTTTTTTTTTTTTTTCGCTCGCTCCACTATACTCCACTGATTCATGTTGTGCCCTTCTTTTCTTGGTCTGTCTTTTCATTCACGTCTGTCACCCTCTGTCTCTTGTCCTGGGTGTTCTGACATCGATTGACCAGGATGCGATTATCTTTTGAGCGCCATCCCTGAGAGACGGATGTGTTGGCAAATCTTCGATTGATTCTCCGGTCAGCCCTCGTTCGGCCGGTCGGTCGTGCAGGATCATCTTTTCTTGCGTCGGTCTGGTTGTGGTTGTTTTTTTTTCACACATGCATCCCCACGAAATGATCTGCGCGTTCCAACGTAGTGAAATGTGCAGGAAATTCCAACACTTTGCAAAAATGCCATGCATGATTTTAGGATTAGTTGAACACCTCCCCATCCCACCATACGTGCACATGTTCGGACACCAATACCACTGATGTCCCCAGTCCCCGGCGGCAGCACTTGCCGTCCATGTCGCTCCAGTTGGTCAGCCTCAAGCAGCAACATTTGCAGCTTAGCCAATAGCGTGCATCTCAGTGCACCAGGGCATCTTTCAAGAACTTGCTTGATCGCCGATCTGCTCCAAATGTAAATGGTATGAATGTAGATCTCGCAATTCGGCTCGCTTGAAACTGCTAGCGACCAATGCAACATATGCACCGAGCACCTGTAGTTCTGAAGCACAACAAATGGGTAGTTGTCAGTACAGTAATTACTGCAATCGTCCAACACACCATTCTGATTGACCTTCAATGTCACTTATATATATATATATACATGAGTCTTCTCTCTCAATGCCCAAGAGTGTTACTGAGCCCCTTGCCAGTTCAGCAATTGCCTTGCCCTTGATTGGAAAGGCCTGGCACCCGATCGGTCACACTACTCGCTTGGCGACCCGGTTGGCGGCCGCCGTGTCATTTCGGAGCCTTTCCTTTTTTTACATGTTAATCTCGCAGCAGCGAGAAACAAACTTGTATGTCTGCAAGATATTGGACACCTAATTGTTGTGCAAAATCCATGTTTGCGCCTGCTCTCCAGTTTTTCACCCAATCGATTCGGGAATATCTGGAAGAGTGACTGCAGAAACTCTGGCTGTCTGGCGGCTGAGAGAGGACTCCGCCACATGAGCTGCTGCACAATCAGCGGAATGGCCAGGTGCACGAGGAAAGAACGGGTCGCGTGCGCATGCGCCAGGAACGTCAGCATCCCCACCCCACCCCCATCCATCACTGGTGTGGCGGATCGCTCACCCCAACCCCATCACTGGCGTGGCGGCCACGCAAACGCAGATTGCAGTAACAGGTGACGTGGTGAACAGGTGACGTGTGCATGAGCAACAATGAACCTGCCCGATACAAACCACACATTAAACGCCCATAATGCGTAAGGTTACTCTCTGTGGTCTCCATGCCTTCTTTAGTGTGCTTTGCAATACTTGACAATGCAAAGAAGCCTTGGCGATGCTCGGCAACTCGTCAAGGAACCAGAATCTTAAGTGCTTCCAAGTCCTACAGAACGCTGTTAATGCCAACCTGTCCACAAGTTGTTTAACATAAGCAAAGTATCAATATAATATGGTACCAATCTGCTTCATCTTCCTCCACGATTCCTTTCTTCCCACCTTTCATCTACTTCACCGTTCCGGGTGGGGTGGTGTTTGCAGATCTGCCTATGAAAATACGTATCCACTTCCTGTTTGGTTTTGTTCCCATGCACATCCTCCAATCCTCGTGCAGAAGAAGTTCAGTATGTGCCAAGTGCGCTTGCGCGCAACGCTGGCAGCGCCGCGGTAAAGCGCTCTTGCGAGAGGCAGCGCCGCGCGTTGTCGTCGCCCCACCCGGTTGCATGTCGGGCACAGGTTGCCAAGAACAATCGGCATGTCTTGATAGGTATTTTGCAGATGAAATGCATCAAACACGGCTTCTTTCAGCAATCCTTGCTGGGTATCCAATGCTGGGTATCCTGAAACTATCTGCATCGAACCCCGATAATCGAGTGGGATCCCCAAACAAAAAAATGTATTTGGGTTTAGTTATAATTAATTATATGTAGTTGTTATTTACTTTCTTTTTTTCTTATTCAATATCTTCTGGTCCATGACAGAATCCCATGAACCATCATCCATCATGAGGTCCAGGTCCTCATCTCATCATCCATCATCAGGTCATCATCTTTATTAAGGGGATTTAAGGGGATGTGGTCTTCCAATACCTCCAATCTCAGACCTTGTTGACCTTGAAGGGGGGGTCCCCGTTTATTAATTCTACGTGTGCATTACAGCCCGGGCAAAAAAAAAGTGAGAGGACAACATGATAATCAGAATGGAAAAACATATAGAACACCAAAAACATGTCACATGTTTCCAGCTTTCACAGCTTTCAAACAAACCACTGTATCCACAACGCGCCGAAGCAATGGACACTGGACCACGATGCAACTGGTGGGTGTTTGGCCCCAAGTCTCAGTGCAAAGCATGCCAGGCGGGCCATTGACAAATATCTCGTCACTTCCACAGTGGCTTGGTGCTTTGAAGGTTGATAGCCTGACCATGAAGGTTGGCATTTCCCAATCCACGACAGTCACTAGTCAACAGGATATAACATTGATAGGTTCTCAGGTTTGCCATGGTCACCATGGTCCAACTCCAGTAGGTGTCAATGAAACAGAGACCAACTATATATATATATAAGTTATGATTCTAAAAAAACAACACTCCGCCACCTATGAGGTTGCTGTAAAGTCACTCCGATAGGAAGTGAACCCCGAAGAAGAGTGGCAGTACCAGCATAAGCCTGCATGCAACCTCAACTCAATGATTAAAACTCACTAGTCATTAGATATATAAGTTATATACTAATTGCCAGCTCAATGCACCGACAGCGTGGCCTTGGTAGATAAGGGCAACAAAGCCCATGAGTGCGTCATACCAACGCTCGCCTCACTACAAACGCATTGACGAGACGTGACACAGCAAAGCTTGGTGAACAAGCAGGGAACCAATGTTGAAGGACTCAACTGAATCATAGTTCATAGATCATAGATCTCCAATTTTTTTGCGAACATTCCCACACGTATCAACCGGACTCCCATGTTCTGAGTACCTGATTCCCAATGTGTGCACCAAAAACGTCTGTTCCCACGCGTGCCTGGAATGTAGCGGCTCACACCGGGTCGCCCATCCTGACAAACTACACATCGGTGCCAGGTGGAAACAAATTGAACGTCACGTGTGCGCTGAATAGTCGTCGAGTGTTTCTTGTTCTTTTTTAAAGCCCGCTTCTACTTAACCAAGGGAGAGGGAGTAACTATACGCTACTAGTAACTGGACACAGGATAGCGAAGACGCTTCTTCAAAGCCTGCGGGCGGCGGGGAGCTTCCTTGAAGATGCGCTCGCACTCACTATTGATTGGTTCCTAGATTCTTAGGGAAACTCCCTCTGCTCACTGCTTTACTGCTGCTAATGCAAATCTTTCAATCCAAGATAATCCAAGTGACAATAAACATCACAGCCTTGAAGCACTGGAAACAACATTATACAGTCACTGTACACAACCTCTAAATCCTGTCACCCCGAACACAAAAAAAACAAATCACGGTTAATGTTCAATTGAGTAGTTATTGATTCATTGCTATCATTTTTCACACAAACTGTCCCTGTAATCCTTTAGAACGAGACATTTCAATGGTACGCATCTTCGTACTAGAAAGACCATCCCCCGTTTGACAGCATCCAGGAAACCAATTTGCAAGGGCTGGCTTACTACTGGGGGAGGCCATCGCTTCCAGGTTGGAGGCCATCGCTGGTAGTTCTGCCAGTTATGCCATCGTCACCAATAGCACACATATCCCCTCCACAATGCGTCCGGCAACATCAAATCTGTATCCTTTTGTTAACGTCATCAATTGAGTCCTTGTTGTCTCTCAGCCATCCTGGCTGCCCCGGGGGTGCTATAGCTGACCTTGAAAGCGCGAATGAGCTCCAATGCCTTTTGCAATGTGCAAAACAGTAATTGCATTTAAGAGTTTGTGTCAGTGAGGGCAGTGTTTGAGCGATCTGTATTCAAAGGACAACAAAGTGTTCTTGTGCAGTCATACATGGTGCTGGGTGCACTTGCAACTTGGGCAGCCACACACTGAACGCCTCAAAGTAAACATAATGTGTTGTTTTCGTCCTTTTGTTTGTCATGTTGTCACCTTCCTTGTCGTTTCAGTTGTTTTGCCACTACCCTGACATGTTGCTGTGTTTTGTGCTTTTGTTTTTTTGGGAACCATCTGACGCAACGACAAGAGGACGAAACAACGTCGTTTAACAATCACAATAACACGGCAACTCCAGGAATGTGTCACGTTTGAGTTGAGCGGTATGTCAGTTTAGCGGTGTCCCGCATGAAACACCAGGCCCAAAAAGGTGTCCCAACACCTGCTTCCATCGGATGGAAGGGATCCACACACAGGCCGCTTCCTGTGGAAGTCTGCGCCAATGCGCACATCTTTCCAATTGGTTGCCTCACAGGAACAAGGCTTCAAAAGCACAAAGCAACAGAAAGCAACCACATGTGTTCCGTTAAGATTGTGGATCCAGAATCAACAAGCTTGCATCTTTGTTGTTCAAACTGCGAACACCTCGTGGCCAGTGACACGCTTCACCCAATTGGCCAGCTGTTTTGCTGAGAGAAAGGGATCCTGGCACAGTGGGACTGGTGATTGTGTTATACTCTAGACAAATGACTTGACACTCTGGCAACACACAGGCGCCAAAACACCAGTACCATGTCATCTGCCAAAGAGAGGCCCCCCCCAAAAAATCACAGTCCCATGTCATGATGCATTGCTGTGAGATTCTTGAACAGTTTATGTTTTTTCTGTCATTGAATTTTGGCTCAGAGAAGATGGAGTCCCAAACTCCAATGACGTCTCGATCATCGCATGGGGAATTTGTCGGTACTCCGGCTGGTTCCAAGCGGTATCGGCGCACATACAAGTCACCGGCGAGCCACACCCCGCTGGCGAGATCAGCTGAGACACCAACTAGTTGCAAGCGGTATCGGCACTTTCACAAGTCTCCGCCATTCCAGGGTGAGGTGCGGTGCGGTTAATTGTTTCTATTTTGCAAGCACAGGACACATCTTCCACTTAAAGCCTCTTGCACATAGTTCGTGAAGGAGAGGCCTTCAAGCAAAAGCATCGACGTTGGGAAGGAGAGACTAGGAGAACAAAATGCCAAAGTAGGTCCTACAACATGTGCCTCTTCTCTGCAGGAATCGGTCTCAGAGAATGAGAAGCTGAAGGTTCATGTGGATTCGCAGGCTTTTCATACCATGTCCACCTGATGTTTCCATTCATGAATATGGAGCCCCACACGGTGCAAAGTAGAGATGTCTCCATTCTTGGCAGGAAGTGGAGACAAAGCCTGAAGACCTTCAGCATACCCATGTCCCATGTCAGGCACACGTGACAAGTCCACAACAATAACTTTGGACAAACAAATCAGTAGAGTTCATTTTTCATGACCGTTTAGGTAGAAAATGCTTGTCTTTGGAGGAATTGTCCTCAAAGGATGTGGAGCCAAAGCTTCA